GCCACTTCACTACACATTTATGTGTAAATACAAATAACAGCAGCAGAAAACAATGATTATAGTTGGTAAAATTGTAGATAATTTACTTTCATTGATAGGATATGATATTCTCTAAAATAATTTTAGCAGTCCTACTGAGATATAATTCAGTTACCATACAATTAACTCATTTAAAGTATCCAACTATCTTCCGAGAGTCGTGTTACCATCAGCACTATGAGATAAAGAATATTGCATCAATCTAAGAAAGAAACCTTCTAGCTGTCACTTCTCATTTCTTCCCAAGCCTATCCCGCCACTTGCCCAAGACACAACCATTTATTTTTTGTTTCTTTAAAGCTGGGCCTTTCATATAGATGGCAGTAATACAATAGGTGTTTTGTGACTGGCCTTTTTTACTGAGCAAATACTTTCAAGGTTCATCCATGTTATGACTGCATAATATTCCATTGTGGATTCCTGGTGTGGCGCTATAGGATAAGCACTGTTAACTACAAGGTTGGCAGTTCATACCCACCAGGTGCTTTTTGGAAACCCTATACAGGGTCACTGTGAGTTGGAACAAACTCTAAAGCACTTATCAACAACAATTTTGATTCATGAGTTGGACTTTTGGGCAGTTTCTCCTTTTGGGATGTGATGAATAATGTTGCTATAACATGCTATAACATGGGTAAAACAATGCTGAGTGAAATAAGTCAGACAAGGACAAATAGTATGTGATCATATTTTCATGAACTGTCTAGTATAGGCAAATACATAGAAACTAAAATCTTGTAGTGGTTTCAAGAGGAAGCTGAGAAAGGGCGTTACTGCTAACTGGGTGTTGACCTTCTGTTCGGAATACTGCTGCGGTTAGAAGTACCATTAGTTCCTTCTGACTCAGAGCAACACCGCATAGTGTTTCCAAGGAGCAGCTGGTAGGTTTGAATTTGCCATGTTGCAGTTAGTCCATTGCTGACGTATTGGAAATAAGTGGTAGTAGTGATAGTTGGACAACATTGTCACTAGAGTTAATGCCACTGAACTGTACACTTAAAAGTGGCTAAAATGGCAGTATTTGTGTGATAAGTAATTGTTGTTGTTGTTATGTGCGGTGGAGTCGGTTCCAACTCATAGCGACCCTGTACAGGGTTTCCGAGACTGTAAATCTTAACGGGAGCAGATAGCCTCATCTTTCTCCCGCAGAGCAGCTAGTAGTTTCAAACTGCTGACCTTGCGGTTCGCAGGCCGATTCGTAACCACTACGCTACCAGAGCTCCTTAGAGGTACATGTAAAATGAGATGGGATGAATAAAACCAAAATCTACTGCTATTGTTGAGTTAGTTGATTCTGACTCACAGCAAGAGTTGCCCAGTAGTGTTTCCAAGTCTTTAATCTTTATGGAAACAGACTCTGCTTCATCTTTCTCCAGCCTCAGTGTCTGTTAGGTTCAAACCACCAGCCTTCAGGCAGACAACTGCTTAACCTTTGCACAACAATAGCTCACTAGATCAAATACAAATAATTACATTATGGGAATGGATTGTTGTTGTTATGTGCCATGGAGTTGGTTCTGACTCATAGGGATCCTGTCCAGGTTTTCCGAGGCTGTAAATCTTTATGGGAGCAGAAAGCCTCATCTTTCTCCCATGGAACAGCTGGTAGTTTCGAACTGCTGACCATGAGGTAGCAGCTGGTAGTTTCGAACTGCCTGATTTGTAACCACTACGCTACCAGAGCTCCATATATGGGAATGGGTTAGACAAGTTTGAAAGAAAATAAGAGAAAGTAACAATATAATAGAATCATTAAAACTGGCCATATTGCTGTCTGCTAAAAGTAAAATTTGAAGTAAAAAACATGAAGTGTATATCCAGCCCTGGTGTGGCTCTGGTTAATGCACTGGACTGCAAGCTCATTTGAAACGCAAGGTCCAGTGGTTCAGGCTCACCAGCCGCTACTTGGAAAACTCTATACAGGGTCGCAGTGAGTCAGAATTGATTTGACAGCACTTAACAACAACAACTTTACATACCTTCATGCATTAAATTTTATTGGCCATGGTATATTAACTGAGTTATTGTGTACAGTACAAAGTTTGCTGCTAACTTTTCAGTTCACAAATCAGTGAACTCCTTTTGTAGTGTACTGGTGATTGGTCACTGTTCTGTTAATCAGTTCTTGCATAGTCAACAAACCCTACAGTTGTGGTCCCTCTGTCTCCCAGTGATATACTTTCGTGAGTGACATTTTTACAAACTCACTGGGGTACAGGCTAGTGCAGAAAAGACACAGAATGATAGTAAGAAGTGAAATTTGAATCCAATATAAAGTGTTATGTGTAAATAGCTAAAGAACACAAGAAGTGCAGCTAGAGAAACTAAGTGAAGTTACAATTATCAACATAAATGAGAAGGTAGTGATTCTCCTAAAAGAACCACTGATGTTGCATTTAACAGTCCAGTGTTTATCCGACAGTGCCACACCAGTCTCAATTCTCTAATCATTTAGTTAGTAGCTGAACTAGTGTTAACTACATACACCACCCAGCTCTCCAAATTAGTTCTGGCCATCCTGGCTTTTAAGAGCATTCTGGCTGTACTTTTTCCAATGCAAGATTTGTTTGTTCTTTTTGTAGTCCATAATGCTTTAAAAATTCTCTTCCAACACCATAATTCAAGTGCATCAATTCTTCTATGGTCTTCATTGTCCAACTGTGACATACATATAAGATTATTGAAAATATCATGGCTTGGGTCAGGCACACCTTAGTCCCCAATCTGACATCATTTATTTGCTCTTCAACACTAGAGAGTCTTGGGTAGCAGATTTGCCTAAGGCTGTAAGTCCTTTTGTCTTCTTCTTTTTTTTTTTTTAATGCTTTATTATGGGATAGCTTACATGGAAGGACAACAGCTTCACATTGATCCCATCATATATTGTTTCCTTGCCACGGTTATAATCCCTTCCATGCATCATCTATCAACCAAAGGGTGTCCCCCCTGCCCCCCTCATCATGTCCTTTATTTCTTGACTACAGCTTCCTTGAGTGTTGATGGCTTATGTAAACAAAATGAAGTATTTGACAACTTCTTTTCTCCCTTTATCTTGATGTTATTTATTGCTCCAATGGTGAGGATATTTGTTTTCTTTATATTGAGGTGAAACCCATAAAGGAAGGCTGTGGTCTTTAATCTTCTAAGTAACTCTCTTCGTAATCACTTTTGTGGAGTTTGATTTTTAGGAGGGAAAATTTGTGTTGAATTGCCTTGTTCTAAATAGAACAAGGAGCTCTGGTAGCGTAGTGGTTACGAATCGGGCTGCGAACCTTAAGGTCAGCGGTTCGAAACTACCAGCCGCTTCGCGGGAGAAAGATGAGGCTTTCTACTCCTGTAAGGATTTACACCCTCGGAAACCCTGTACAGGGTCGCTATGGGTCGGAACCGACTCAACGGCACTTAACAACAACAACTAGAAGTTCCGCTTTTGAAAGAGTTTTTCGTAAGTTACTTAGAATTTAGAATTCATTAACATAGGAGGAATTGTGTTTCAACTGTAGTGACTAAATATTGTATAAAACTTAAGGCAGTCCTGGGATGAATAATTCCTAGTCAAAGCCCAAATTTCTGGATCAAATGTGATGACTTAAGTTTAACCCCAAGATAAGTTTTTTCATAAATGAGGTGATTGTTAAGGGTTGTCAAGTCACTTCTGACCCATTTTTAGGGTTTCCAAGGAGCAACTGGTGAGTTTGAACTGCCAACCTTATGGTTTAGTGTACATTTAATCTTAGCACATTATTTTGATATTGGGATGTGAAGTTAAAATACATTTAACATTCATGAATTAGGTGATTACATTTATTTTTATTACTCTTTTTTAACTTTTAGTTGGGATGTGAATTAAGTGATGGTTAACAGACAGGATCATCAGCTTTATAGTCAACTAATTAGATGCCTTGTGTCATCTCAGTGATAGAATCCCTTCGCTGCAATAACAGTTACCCTACTTCTCTGTGACTTATCTCTTAACAGTTTATTTTATAAATGAGCAAAGCAAAAATAGTTGACGTACACATACAAAACAAAAAATAAATACTCATTTAGAAGTCATAAGAGCATATTCTGTCAGCCAGATTGCTGCCTTCAGACATCCTCACTCCTTCCATGGGCCTAGAGTTTTTTACATTTAAATAAAACACTTTTGAGTATCCTTGAATTGCAATTTTTTTATTTTGAATCCTTTAAAAGTACAATCTAACTATAGGCATCTCAATGTTTAGAAACTTCAGCAGTTGAAGAATTCATAATAGATTCTAAATATTTTTGGAGTTTTGGTGTGATTCTGTAGGATAAGCATTGGACTATAAACGTTGGTTCAAACCCATCAGCCACTCTTTGGAAACCCTGTACAGAGTTGCTGTGAGTCAGAACTGACTCGATTATACTTAAAAATAATGATTATTTTAAATTGTGAATAATTTAGTGAGGACTTCTTCAGTTTTCTTGTTGTTAGAGAATACATATGTTAGAGAATACATATGTATCAACCATCATATACTATTTATAGAAGGTCTACCTTTTTAGCATTGAAAGATTTTTTTTGGAACAAGTGATACGGGATAATATATAAGGGGAGAATAACTCTGAGATACAGTATTTGTATGCATAGCTAAAGATGACAGTACAAGTGTTTGTTTATAGTTATAAGGGAGCGTCCAAAAGTTCATGGAAAAATGGAATTAAAAGACAACATGTTTCTTTGTATTTTGAAAATGTATTTAGATAGTGCGCCTTATTGACAACATCATGAGTTGTGTAATATGGAAAGTGTTTCAAAACGATCTTGGATAAATGGAATTAAAAGATACTAGACTTCTTTGTGTTTACTCTTTATTTATACATTTTAGTTTAAGAATGTTTGACAGTTTTACCATAGGATAATAAATACTATTTATTAACTTTAGTTACACATTTAATTGAGGTGACTTTGTACTTCTCTTTTCCCCCTTTTATAGTGCTTTTCTGGGACCAAAGGATATATTTCCGTACTCCGAAAATAAGGAAAAATACGGCAAGCCAAATAAACGAAAAGGTTTTAATGAAGGTTTATGGGAAATAGATAACAATCCAAAAGTGAAATTTTCTAGTCAGCAGGTGAGTCATATCAGTTAAAATACTGTTCAGTATGATTTACTCAAACTTGAGAAATAATCAGTATCCCAGCATGTATGACACTCAGTTTCAGTTTTCATCATGCAAAATTTGTATCTTTTTTTGTCTTGGAACAGAAATTACCATCTGTCCTGGCACTGATGGTATTTAACTTTTTTCCAGTATTGCAAAGTGTACTTAACATTCCATATGGATGTCCAGAGTGCTTGTGGTTTAAAATAAACCAGCCAGGTGTTTGTATAGAACCTGTGTTTGGTGGGGTCCTGTAGTGCAGGGGGTCAATAAGCTGCTTCCATAGATTATGGCTTGAGAAACCCTGGGGCATTTGTGCACATCCTGTGAGTGGGAATCAGCTCAACAGCAGTGACTGTTCTAGGACCTCAGTATGCTTAGAGGAGCGCTTGATGAGTATTTAACTGGGAGTTTCTCATAAGTGTCCTTTTATTAGGCTTGTAGCAGAAGCTGGGGAAAACAGGAGTAAGCCTGAAGCGGTTAGGAACAAACTGGAAATTCTACAACCTTCTACTCTTAAATCTCTCAACCTTTTTTCTTTCTTCAAAGGTGTCATTCTTCTCACCTTTGAAAACTTTTGAGATGCTGTTGAATGTGGGACACTGACTACTCCCCTTCTCAGTGTCCTGTGACAGCATTAGGTGGTTTCTAGGTGCCTTTATTGCTTCTTAAAAATGCCATGCCGTGTTGTGATTGCTTCTTTGTCTGGAACCAAGACAGACAGGAAAGAAGCTCTCTCTGTATTGTGTGCCTGGCACTGTGCTTGATGGCCATGGGAAAATAAGTATACATTAAATATAGTTGGATCGATAAGAATGGACATATGGTTTTCTGTCAGTCTTGCCTTGATTATAATGGTGGGAGTACATCTTTCCAAAGGTACTTAATTTTTTCACTTGATGATTTTGTGTGCATGAAAGTACAGGAAGAGAAACCCTTAAGACTTTGAAAATAATAGTAGTATTGAAAACAATTTTTTAAGTTGTATATCCATTAAAACTATCCTATGGCCAGAAAATAAGGTGCTTTTCTGACCTTTTGCAGACAGACTTAATTTTCTGTGGATGGAAACTTTGAAAGCCAGGGTGGGGGGAAAACTTTCTATTGTGAAATTAATAGACTTGATTGCTCACAGGCCTCAACTAAGCAATCAAATGCATCATCTGATGTTGAAGCTGAAGAAAAAGAAACTAGTGTTTCAAAGGAAGACACTGACCAGGAAGAAAAAGCCAGCAATGAGGTATGTTGAATTTCTCTTACATTCTAAGTTTATGTTTAGAAGATTGTGTAAAGTGAAATTCTCTGGCAAAGTAAAAAAATAATTTAAAAAGTATTTGAGCAATGATGAGAATATACTTAAGCTTTTCCTATATAAACACAGTATTAGCATTGTAAATTTTATGTATTTTAAAGATGCATGGCTTTTTATAAAATTTATTTTCATGGACAAAACAAGAGCTCCCATTTGTCTGGGTAGGGTACTATTGGTTAGGAACATTTTTTAGAGTGATGTTGCATGAATGGACTAGGAAGAGTAGCATTAGACTGGAGGCTTAAGAATCTGGGTTTATTTCCAACTCTATAGTTGATTATCTGAGGAAATGGTTGTTAAAAGATCTGCCAGTATGGACACCTCTTAATCCACAACCTTAAAATCCAGGATTCTACTGTGGAATAAATGATTTTATAAACTTAATGAACAGCTATGCTAGTATTATGTCTTTTTATATAGGAAATGCATTTATATATTCAGGTGAAGATATTGGCTATTCTACTTTATACTGATAAGGCTTTTAATCATGATTTCAAAGGTCATAGAAGCAGAACAAGTTTCTGCAGAGCATTTTTGTAAAACATGATTGACTTTTAGGTTAAGAAAATTTATTCTCATCTTGACAGTTTTTCAGCTCTATCTGTATGTTTTAGGATGTGACTAAAGCAATTGATATAACTACTCCGAAGGCTGCCAGAAGAGGGAGAAAGAGAAAGGTAACTGTTTAGGCAAACTATGAGTATCTTAATTCTTATTTTACTTAGTGGAGCATAAGTAGAGATAAAGCAAACCCGATCCCTTACTCTAAATCTTTTGCTGTTGATTGTAGGTATTCTTTCAGAACACTGATACCAGTTTGTACATACTGTCAGTCCTCACTGTCTAAATGATTGTGCACATCCTTACCAACATGTTGGGTAAATTAGTCGATTTGTTGTTTGCCCTCAAATCTTTACCTTATAAGACAGATTAAGACTGCCCTATGGCATTATCTAAGGAGCTCTGGTAGTGTAGTGGTTAGGAATTGACTGCGAACCTTAAGGTCAGCAGTTTGAAACTACCAGCTGCTCCGCCGGAGAAAGTTGAGGCTTTCTAAAAAGATTTACAGCCTCGGACAGCCCAGTCGCTATGTGCTGGAACCATCTCGATGACACGTAACAACAACAGCATAGCGTGATCTGGAGTCCTGGTGTGGCGCTGTGGGCTAATGTGTCAGATTGCAAAGTCATTTGAACTGCAAGGTCAGTGGTTCAAGCTCCGTGGAAACCCTATACAGGGTCGCTATGGGTCGGAATCAACTCCACGGCATTTAACAACAACATAACATTATCTAGCCTGAAATCTTTTAAGGGAGACACTGCTTAGTGGCTGGTGGCTTTGAATTGCTTGCAGACTTTTGGGGTAGTTGCTGAGTACTTTTAACAACCATTGTGCCTATTTGTCAAGTCATTTCCTATTCATAGGGACCTTGTATAGGGTTTCTGCATAGAGGCTGCTTGGTTTGAACTGCCAACCTCATGGTTAGTAGCCCAGTGATTATCCTATAGCACCACTCCAGGACTAGAATATAGTTTACACTGAATTATAATTAGTTGGAGATAGGAGGCACCTGGGGGAGTGGTCCTGCCATTATTCTTTGTTCTCCTGTACTATTTCTTTCCTCAGTTTGCAATTTTTATGATAACTGGCAAATCCTGACTCCATTTCCCTTCTGTTGGTTGTTGTTAACCTGTGGTCTGTTTCTAATGCTTTAATGAAGTAAACTGGTTCTTATTTGGGGCCATTGTTCATGAACGTATACCACAATTGTCAGTTCATAAAGGGCTCATTGGGATTCCTTACTCTGGAAAATAATCCCTTTCTGGAAAGTCAAAATTTCTCCAAGGAAAAACAGTAAATCTGAGTCTCAGTTCAAAAATGATACTTCTGTACATTAGCAATGTTACTTGATTCGAAATACTTTGTAACTTTATTGCTTTTTCTAATATTAGAATACCAAAAGGCGCTATATTAGGTAATACACACTTTTAGATTTTGAGGCATTCTGTGAAAATATATTTAACAAATTGTATGAGTTGTTATGAATCATATTTTGTTTTCCTTATTGTATCAAGAACAAAGCCTTCTTTTTACAAATGGTGGTTTTAGGTTGAGGGTTTCTTCTCTCATTTTTAGAATGATAAGCCAAGATCACTGATGAGTGTTTTGTTGAAAAAAACAAAGTTGGCAGTTCAAACCAACTAGCCTTTACTTGGAACATGAAAGTTACAGTTGAACTCACGTTTTCATATAGTAGCATATTTTTGCCACCGAATTAAATTGGTTATATCTACTGTTTGTTAATTAAATCTTTGTGATTCAGGCAGAAAAACAAATAGAAACAGAGGACACTGGAGTAGTGACAACGGCAATAACATCTGTTAATCTAAAAGTGAGTCCGAAAAGAGGACGCCCTGCAGGTAGGATTGTTGATGCTTCAATCTTTACTTAGATTGTGATTAATATCCCAATCTACTAGGGTAGTGCCTGAAATAGTTTGGAATGAGGGGAGATAGATATTGAAATTGATTGTAAGATAGATAAGCATTATATTCTGTACTCTATGCAACAAAGTATTTAGCTTTAAAATACTAGTCTGGGCCTAATTCTTTTTCTTTTTTATCCCTTTTGCATTTCTCCTCAGTAGACCTCTACTACCTCTAAAAGAGGCTATGGTGAGATTAAAATTCCATGGGTAGTAGGTTTATTTTACCTTTCACTTTCGAGGTATTAAACAAAAACAAACCATTATTAGTCAATTCTGACTCATAGTGACACTGCTTTCCCCACAGAATTTCCTAGGCTGTATATCCACCTGAGCAAACTGCTGCCAAGTCTTGTTCCTGCAGGGGAGCTGCCATTCCTGAACCGCCCACCTGTGGGTCAGCAGCTGAGCACTTTAACCCCTGCAGCACCAGGGTGCCTTCAAAGGCATAAGCTTTCTATACAGAATCAAAGATTGAGAGATAGCATTTGGTTTAACTAAACCATAAATATTTAAATCTTTTTGCATCTTTGGCTACTAGGGTCTTAATAATGTAGCTATTTTCTATATTGCCTGTTTAAAGTATTTCCATAATTTGGCAAAATAAAAGCATTTTGGAACGGATCTGCCTTATACAAAGAACGTTAACCTCTCTCCTCCCCCCAATTTTATAATAGGATTCTTACTAGAAATAAATGAAAATATATCCTAGGAGAAAACAGGATTTGTTTACATAATTTTAATTTTAGAATTGAAGTTTTGTGACATTCTTGTTTTTAAAACATAAATGTTACTAGAAGCCTTCTGAGACCTACTAAGGACAACTTGAACATTTTTGTTGCTCTGCCTGTTTAAATTTTCTGCTGTTGCTCACGTGAACTTAGGGGGAAAGCTATTGAATCTTTAAAATTTACAGAAAACTTTATGCATAATAAACTAATAAGGCCCTATATTGTTGGTATATCTCATTTTCAGTCTTTATATGTGAAATTTGCATCTAAAGGGAAAGCTGGTAGTTAATGGATATTTTTTTTATGTGAATACTAGCTACAGAAGTCAAGATTCCAAAACCAAGAGGCAGACCCAAAATGGTAAAACAGCCTTGTCCTTCAGAGAGTGACATGTGAGTTTATTCTTAATATATAATGTTTAATTATGTATTAAATAGAATATTTGGCTAAGCATGTTTTCTCCTTGCATTTTTAAATTTTAGGATGCTTATTGCTTTTACTACTGTATCTAAAATTTATGTATGTTGAGAAAATAGTATTATGTAAAATAATAATTGGTTGCAATTGGGAAAATGAACTGCTTCTTGATGAATGTAAACATTTTTCTTGATGTTGTTCAATGCCATCAGGTAGGTTCTGATTTATCATGACCCTGTGTAGGGTTTCCAAGAAATAGCTGTTGAGCTTGAGCCGCTGATCTTGTAGTTCAAACTGACATTGCAGTCCACCACATTAACCCATAGCACCACACTATCAGGACGTGTAATACAGGTTAAATGAAAGAATTGAGTAAAATTTAGACATTTTGAAATAATTTCCAGAATTTTTCAGTTCCTTAAGAATAACTTTGTACTGAAATTTTTTTAAGTATTTAGGAATGAAAATTAGTTATCCCCAAATTTTCCATTTTTTATCCTGTTTGTTTTGAATTCTGAGTAGAAAGTTCACTTTTGTTAAGTGCCATTGAGTCACATAGCAAACCCTGTACAGGGTTTCTAAAGAGCAGCTGGTGACTTTGAACTGCCGAACTTGTGGTCTACAGCCCCAGACCAGGAGTCCAGAAAGTTGAACAGTAGAAATATATTTAAGGAAAGGGGACACAACTTTTATCTATCGAGTGTGCAAAAACGATTTTGAAAAATGTTTATAGGACAGTTTAGTTATAAGAAAGTTACTGTAAAATTGCTACTTTTCAAACAAAATATATTTAAGGAGCTCAATCTTATTGTTAGGCTAACTCTTGATATTTTCTCAAAGAACCAACTTATAGCAATTTTTTTGTTGTTTTATTTTGAATTATGTGATCATTTACATGGGAGAACATTAGTTTTACATTCATCCTATCGTATATCGTTTCATTGCCATGGTTACAATCTCCTCCATGCATCATCAACCAACCAAAGGGTATACACTACAAGCTTGCCCCCAGGTCTTCAGCATACAGCCCCTCTCCCTCTCTAGGTCTAAAGGCCCCAACCGCTTCATCGCTCCACGTCATCATCTCTGCCTCCATCTTAGGCATCACTGCTTCTCTGGGTAGGGTCCCGCTCTCCGCTCTTCTCCCTTGATGGTCCCAGGGACCTCCGCTCCTAGATTGAAAAGTTACCACTCCCCTCCTTGCTACAAAATGTCTACCTTTACATTTCCAACCCTCATAATTAGTCCTGATGACAGATATTCACTATTGTATTACAAGAGACCCATCCACATTTCCTTTCATCAGCCCCACCTAGACAGATTGTGGATACTACTCA